TTTTGGTCCTTCTATACATTGGAAGCGAGAGCTGTAAGCTAGAAAGAATTTCAGAACAGAGGGTCCAAAACAGCTTCAGGTAGTACCGAATTGCGCTCCAAAGCTTAAAAAATTACTGCTTGATCCTTGGATTGATCCATAGATTTTTGGTTTCCCATATTATAATTTTAGTGATATTGTAGCCCGTGTTGACAACAGGGAATTTTTTCCGTTTCACACAAACTAAACGCAAATTCTACCAGTTTGGTCACTGGATAGGACATTCTAATCATTTGCGAGCCAAACTGGGGAAAGCTTGATTGAATAAGAAGTTGGAAAGAAAGATTAGAAGCGGGCACAAAATACTGGCCCTCCTTCTCCCTTCTTCCAGAAAGAGTTTTAAGAAATTGCAGATTCGCAGCGATGAACGCAGATTCGCATAGATAATTAGCACGTTGAGAACTCAAGCACAGGTTGAAACTTTGTTCTGCTTGCATAAGTGTTTTTCAGATGCACGGGTATGGTTAAGAGATCCAGAGCAAGTGTGGATTTCTGGCGAATTGCTGGACGATTTTAGTTTTTCGATGAAAAGCATCCGGGTTCGACTAGAATGTGATCAGGTAAGCGCACTTTTTGTCTATAATTTTTGTGCAGCACTGTAAAAAATATCAAAGAAAATAGTTGCCCCACATATGAGCAAGTAGTTTTCAGGTTGTCGAGTACAAGATAAATGGCGTCGAATCAATGCCACTGCTTCAAAACCCGGATATTCTACTGGGCCGCGATGATTTAACCACATTAAGCTACCTTCACGAACCAGCCGTTCTTAGTCATCTCAGTTTTCGATTTGTCAAACGAGAAGCTATTTATACATATTGTGGTATTGTACTGGTGGCTATCAATCCATATTCTAATTGCTCGCAGCTTTATGGTGATGACGTGATACGGGTATCAAAATTTTGACACTTCAAGAACCCAATAAGATTCAAGACACGACATAGAAGAAGTCTACTTAAGTATAACTTAAGATACTGTAGGTACATAGGTTGTAGCTTTTCAGGGATGAAATTTTGTGTTGCTCTTACTTACGAAACCTACTTAAGAAGCCCATTTGAGAAACCAAGCTGACACTATATTGATTACAGTGAGTTGGTCATTGTGATTCCACCGACGGCGTGTCTGAAGAAAACTAGCAAGGATACTAGTGTCTTCTTTTGCGATGAAGCGCCAAACCAGTTTATTCGTGTCTGGGGAGGAAGAGGATGTATACATATGCATAGTAAATTGAACAAAAACACACAAAATGCTGTCACCAGGGCAGAAGAATGGGTAGCTAAGTAGTGTAAAATTTAACCAGAGGTGCAAACATTTTCAAAAAACCCTTTGTGTCTTTTTTACTTGCCAAAAAATATATAAAAGCCGGGTTCGTTTTTACAAAGAAGCATTTAAAAAATGACTGTGGCTAAATCTGATCCAAGATTTGAAAATTATAAACACCACATTGAAGGTGTATCGTGGTGTCGGTAAGCAAGTGCGTGAACTCGATCCTCATATTTATGGAGTAGCAGAGGAAGCCTTTTTTGATCTTTCTCAATTCGACAAGGACCAGTCGGTGATCGTTAGCGGTGAATCCGGAGCTGGCAAAACTGTTTCAGCGAAGTTTGTGATGAGGTAATTTTTTTTAACTTCCTAAATTTTTTCAACTTTCTTTTCAAAGAAATTTAATGGATGAGCAAATTATGGACTAAAAATTACAGGTATTTGGCATCTGTTGCAAGTGGACCATCGAGAAAACCGTATGGTGTAGCGGAGGCCGGTGTGGAAAATCGTGTTCTCGCATCGAATCCAATAATGGAAGCAATCGGAAATGCAAAGACAATACGCAACGACAATTCGTCTCGTTTTGGCAAATACATACAAATTAATTTCAATGAACATTTTGCAATTGCTGGTGCTGAACTGAAAGTTTATTTACTGGAAAAAAGCCGTGTTGTGTTTCAGGTCAGGGTTTAAATTTCAAGATCTTTCACTGAATATAAATTTTGAAGTTTTGCAATTTTAGGCCTCTCCATTCAACATCTAGAGTTTGAATTAACAATCAGAACTCAAGCTTGTGATGAGGAAAATCAGGTTTTAAGTTAAAATTACCTTTGATGGGCCTAAAATTTTCGAATTTCTGACCGAAGATGAAAACACAAAATTTTAAAACCAAAATCCGAAAGGATTTTTCGTCTCTTACAGAAAGTAAGCGATGGGAGAAGTTTCAGTTTTTACATAAACTCATACATTAGCTCATTAAGTGATTTATACTACCGCTTTGTCTTTTGAAATCCTGTGATTATCTTTTTTTGTGGGGGATGTGTATTTTCATTTTCAGGCTGATAACGAACGCAATTATCATATTTTTTATCAGATTTGTGCATCACGATCTCATCCTTTGCTCAGTGATCTCAATTTAGGTAAGAAATGTTCACTGCTTTAATGCCCTACTAATTTGAAATTGTGTTTTCTATCACTTTGAATAATTTTTTATCGGATCATAGTATTTGTTCGTTCGTAATATTTGTGACCTACTAACTTTTGTATTCGTATCCACGATAGCAAACGAAAAAGCGTTTTCTGAAAGTGCACAGAGTTTTGAAAAGGGGAGAAGCAACAGATTTTTCACTGCTATTTAAGCAATCGTACAGTGGGCGCTTGTTAAAAAAAAGAACGAATACCTGTTAGAAGTAGTGTGCGCCAAATATGTATTTCCAAGATTGCCACAATTACCAAAATTTCCCTAATTACTGTAGCAATCGATAAGAAATCCTTTGCCTAACATCGGCATCCATCATACGTTTCAGTGAGCTGCCACAGACCATTCCTGAGCTTCATTTCTTCAGCTCGTTCCACTGCACCACCGCAGTTACTCGCGCTTATGTATTTTCCAGCTATGGATGCTCTTCTGCTTCTAACAAAAAAAAAAAAAAAAATTAATTGGATTGCTATCTTAATGAATTAATAGCTAAGATGAAGTGTTTTATTGTAGGTGATTGGTGCTCGTATTATTACACGTCACAGGGGGATAGCGGTGAAGTGGTGGGCATCGACGATGCTAAAGATTTCCTGGAAACGGTTGCCGCTTTCGATCTTTTATGCATCCCAGCCGAGGTGCAGAAGTCGATATTTCGCCTGTTTGCTGGCTTGCTTTTGTTTGGAAACATCGGATTTGTAAGCAAAAATGATGAGTACGCCGAAATCAATGTAAGCAGCAGTGAACAGTTTTTTTTGTGAACAAAACGTGACCTTTAAACAGATGAAGGACTCTAGGATAATGCTGCTTTCCGGTCTTTTCCGCAAATTTGCATCAAAATTTCCATTTAGCGAAGAGAAAAAACAAAAAAATTTTTGAAATTCTTGGTTTTTTTGCGAACAAAAAGCTGATATAAAAAAAATCTCCCAATGTTCCATGTGCAGACGTTGCTAATGATGTTCCATCAGTCCAGTCTCCGGGTGCGCTATTTTTTGAGATCCTTGCTTTTTAATCCTTTGTACAAGTAGCTTAAAAAACCCGTTTTTTTGTGGAAAAATAGTAAAAGCCTGG